CAGATGGAGAATAAAAACCAATTTGGATTCAAAAATGTATGTTCAACAACAAGAGCTTCAACTGAATTCTTGAAAAATGTCTACAAAACATTGATCGAAGAAATACGAGTGTTGGAATATTCATGGAATATTCAAGTAAAGCCTTCGACTTGGTAGATCATGACATACTTCTAATGAAATATGAAAGGTATGGCATAAGAAGAATACATCTTCAGTGGTTGATCTTTACTTGAGTAACAGAAAACAATATGTGGGAGTAAATTATACTCAATCGAATACTTTAGACAGTTGAATTGGAGTATATCAAGGGTCTATCCCAGAGTCTTTATTATATCTGATTTATGTCAATGATTTTTAATGCCAACATGTGATTCTATTCGCCGATGATACAACCATTACTGATAAAAAAATAGAAAGTGTATTAATTGAGGCAAATAAAAGATTAGATAATACTTTCCCATTGCTGGCAAAGAACAATTCAATACTAAACGTAGAAAAAAATAATTTTATAAAATTCAATATTTCTAAAATTGAAGATNACCACTATTATAATATTCATGCAGTCATTGTTCACTGTGGTTCTGGCGTTGAATTTGGTCATTATTACGCCTTGGTCAAAGATGAAACGGACTGGTTCAAGTTTGACGATAGTCGTGTCACAAAGTATTCTGGTTTGGTTTCATGAGAGAGAGGACATTGGCAGATCAAGATTTTCAGATGATGTGGTGCTGCAGGTTTTTTCGGGTTTTCCTGCAGCTGAAAGAGCAAATGCACCTCTGGAATCAATGAAGTCGCCTCAGAGCGCCAAATAATTTTTATTGTTGTTTTTATTTTTATCGTTGTTTTTTTTTTAAATAGAATTTCATCGTCATTCAGATGAAGAATGAGTATAACTTATTCAATAAAAACCAATTTGGATTCAAAAATGTATGTTCAACAACAAGAGCTTCAACTGAATTCTTGAACACTGTCTACAAAACATTGATCGAAGAAATACGAGTGTTGGAATATTCATGGACTCAAGCAAAGCCTTCGACTTGGTAGAGCATGCCATACTTCTAAATAAATTAGAAAGGTATGGCATGAGAAGAATACATCTTCTGTGGTTGATCGTTACTTGAGTATCAGAAAACAATGTGGGAGTAAATTATACTTAATCGAATACTTTAAACAGTTGAATTGGAGTATATCAAGGGTCTATCCCAGAGTCTTTATTATATCTGATTTATGTCAATGATTTTCAATGCCAACATGTGATTCTATTCGCCGATTATACAACCATTACTGATAAAAAAATAGAAAGTGTATTAATTGAGGCAAATAAAAGATTAGATAATACTTTCCCATTGCTGGCAAAGAACAATTCAATACTAAACGTAGAAAAAAATAATTTTATAAAATTCAATATTTCTAAAATTGAAGATGAATGCGATTTAACACTACTAGTGGGTGTCATTGAACAGGTTATTTTACACCACATCAACAACATCTGTAAAAAGCAACTTCGACCTGCCTTTGTATTCACGACCTTGCAAAAAAAAATCTCTGTGAGGTATCTTGCACAAACGTGTGTTGGATATAATTCAATTTCCAGCATGATATTAGCCGGGAAAGTAGTTGTTTTTGGCAGGCATTTACCAGAGCCTACTGTGTAGGTACGTTGGGAGAGAGGAATGTTTCAAGGTTTTATTTAGAAAAATTCACTTTCTTATTTAAATGTTTAGTATTTTCGGTAATTTTAATATGTCATTCATTTTCATTTAATTGGTTCTTTAATGTAATTTAAATCTGTTGGCACATTTCAGATAATGAAGTCCGAACTTGCAACACCACCAATTTAAACAAGATTCTTCAGGCTGGGATTTAATCACACTATCATCGATGACATGAGTAAATTGAACTCATTCCGTGACATAAAGTCGTAATTTTATGAATGAAATGAATGTTTTTNATAAATATGAGAAAATTTAATGGACCAAGGACACTGCCCTGAGGGGTTCCAAGATCCACATCAAATTCATTTGAAAAAACATCATCAATTTTCACTATAATCTTTCGGTTTTCGAGAAAAGAGAGAAACCAATCATTAAGGCAGCCATGAATACCCAACTTTTCTAGTTTTTCTGAGACGATAGACCTTTCGAATGTTTGGACTACAAACTGAGTAGAGAAAAGTGCTTTTGTATTATTCAGTGTTTATATGGAAGTATTTGTTTCGAAATTATTTTGCTTTCGTATATAATTCAATTTTTATATGAAAGTAACTCTTTCAACTGGGCTTTTTCTTTCAATTTGTATCTGGAAGTTATTTCTTCGCATGATCTACACATTTTTATAAAGAGTTACTTTTTTTAAAATAATTACTTTCTTCCTCTTTTGGAAGATTCCCACATTGTTGTGTATCAAGATGAAGAAGTAGAAAGCCAAAAACTTTCTTTCCCGAATGTATTTAAATTGTCAACGTATCTCAACCCTTTCATTTATATACTGGTTATGAGCGATGAGAAGAAAAAAGAAGTTACTAAATAATCTTGATTACAAACAGAAATATTGCAGATGAAACAACCAGATTACACATCGTGTTCTTAAAGTACAAATGTCGAAGATGAGCAAGGCTCCTCGAAGCGGTCCTTTACAAAGCTGAGCTTTGACTGGCTTTCTCTGTAGCCTTTAGTGCAGGGCAAATAGTTGAAAGCATAGCCCAAAGACAGTACGTTCGCTCTTTCGACCCCCATTGGTCGTCCATTCGCTGTTCAGACCCCTCACCTGGATCACCTTGACCACTGATCACCTTCAAAGAGATATAAGAGGCACTCCAAGTAAATCTCATCAAATGAGACCTGTACCAGCTTGAAGGATAAAGACCTATTGAAGGATTTCTCTTCAATGTCTAAACATTGCCTATATTCGAAAGGTACAGATTTGTGAAAATCCAATAGTAAAAAAAATGGTTTCTGTTCTATAGAACATTTTGGTGATCACTGTATACTTTTCAGAGAGACGTCACCTAGTACTTCCGATTTATTTGTTCGTTTTCCAGTCTATCCCTTATCTTTATCAGATTGCCTAAATATTCGTGAAGGTGAGGGCTCATAAAATGTAAATATCGTAGACTGATCAAATTTTGCAAAATCATTGTTTGAAGTGAATAAAATATTCAATCATTCATGAACCATTTCACAAATGAAGTTTTTGCGTAGAAAAAATGGATGAAAAACCTAACGAGATTTGAAAAACATTTTTGTCTACATATAGTTTCAAACGTCAAGCAATATTTTTAATGAGTTCCTACACAATTATGGATGTTATATGCGAATACATGGATATTATATTTACCGTCGCAATATTGCCAAATGAACTGAAATGTCTTGGAAAAAATAATCGATGTTTAAATGATAATAATGTTATAAGGTTGTTTCAAAAGTTTAGTCCCATTCAATGCCATATGTTTTTGTAGCCCCATACTGCTAGAGTTTCGTGCTCTGTACAGTGATGCTGTTAATTTATTTTCCAAATTTTAATTTTTTGACTATTTTCAGCTCATTACTATATAATATTGTTCAGCGATTATTGGCCAATTTTTTTCTACGAATTGAAATTGAACCAAAGCGCTGCCGAAACAGCCCGAAAAATTTACCAGGCTTTGGCTTGGTTTGCAAAATATAGGATTAAGATTTGAGGACCCTGGTAGAGACTGACCTATCACAAATTATGCAGGAGCTGTGAACAGGAAGATGAAACTATCAGACAAATCTCATGCGAGTGTCCGGATTTATCGTCAATGGGAGAGTGTGTGTTTGGCCAGTCTTGGCCTACACCTGCCGATATAAAGAGGATATGACCTAGTGACTTGTCCACCTTCCTGGAAAGGGCAGGATGGACAATGAGCTAGGCTTCGGGAGGATGTACAATGGGTCACATGTGGCTTGAGTGCTATGGGCCTACACTCACCTTCCCTACTCTACAGATACAGATACAGAGGGAAGACTGAAGGAGCATGTAAGAAACTGCAGACCAGACCAAACAGACAAGTCAGCTGTGGCAAAACACGCACTCAGTGAAGGAAACCACAGGATTCTGTTTAAAAACATGTAACTCATTGCTCCAGACCAGGGATGCCATAGCTGACTGATACGGGAGGCAATAGAAATTAACAAACACATGGATGATTTCAACAGAACAGACAAAGGTACGAACCTCAATCGAATATGGAAACTCCGTAATATCCAGTCATCGGAGATATTAACTCAGGATGTATAAACCTCTGAGGAAGCTAGCCACTCGTGGTAGCGAAACGATAGGAAGAAATTTTAAAAATCCACTGCGTTCAAACCCGGAAAATAGCGACACTGAAAACCTCGTCCGCGAAAGCCTTAACCATTATGAGTTTTTTATTATTTCGCTTCCCTGAGGTAGTTTCTTAAAACTATTCATCTTTAACATTCATCATTAGTGAGGTCGTTTGAAATTGTTATTTGTTTTTCTCTCAACCTGTAACAGCTTCTGACAATATGTTTTTGAGAACATTCATGAGTTCAACTTTGATAGGAGAATTGTCTGATTTACCAAGGACTTAGATATCATTAATGTAACTTTCTGAAAGTTCCGCTCCTACATGTTTATAACTTTTGACATGAAATCAGCTGTAATTCATTGAGCACGTTTATTCATTACAAATAAAAAGGTTTTATTCTTCTATTCTGAGTAAGATTGTCTAATTGTTCGGTTTTGGCCCTCTATCTCGAAACGAAGCCGTACCTCACTTGCTTCGATGGCAAATTTTTAGTTTCGATTTCATTCCATTTTTGCTGCCTCTGATTTTATCTGAAATTTGTTGTATAGCTTTTTCATTCATGGTTTGACTACTATCAGATTTTCACGTTGGCGCAGGTACTATTTATTTATTTGAATATTATCTGCTTATCAATTCCTTATCCGATATGTGCTCTTGTCTCATGAAGAAAGAATCTACATGCTTACAATCTACCTTGTAACTTTCACAACAGCGCAGATAAGAAAGCAATTTACATGAAGGTTACTTTATAATTCATTAGTACCAATGAGTCCAGAACAACTGGCTTTTCAATTTGTCAATAGACATACACAAATTCCAAGCGCTGAGTATCACAACAGATATTAGTATGCTATTTTGAATGAAACAGGTTATGGGGTTAAAGAAAGATAAGAGCATTGATATCATTATCACTGTGATAAATCACACATCAAATAAAACAAAGTGTAATTAGTATTATGCCTACCGAAAACCAAGATGGTACAAGTGATTATTAAAGTGAAACACTTTGTTATTATACTAGTTTTTCTTGCCGTTCTAGTGTTCGTGTTAGTGAAGCTTCTACACCGTGACCAGAACAATTATCTATCCAACAGGAAGGAACTGAGTTTCCCTGAGGATGTCAGGCATGCCGTTATACTACTGAACGAAGCGAACAGAAAAATATCTGAGCTGGAAGAAAAAATAGTATCTTTGGAAGTGAGGGTTCCAAAGACATACCCAACTGTTAAATTCCTGAACCATCTCCACAGAAAACGAATCTTGGTAACAGGAGGATCGGGTTTCGTAGGCTCCCACCTAGTGGACAAGTTGATGTTGGGCGGCCACGAAGTTATTGTGGCTGATAACTTTTATACAGGAAGGAAGAGCAACATCGAGCAGTGGGTAGGCCATGAGAATTTTGAGTTCATCCACCATGACATAGTGAACCCGATTTATATCGAGGTCGACGAAATATACCACCTTGCCAGCCCTGCAAGCCCCCCACACTATATGCACAACCCTGTCAAGACTATCAAGACCAATGCGCTGGGTACCATCAACGTTCTAGGTCTAGCGAAGAGGCTGAACGCAAAGGTGCTCATCGCCAGTACTTCAGAAGTTTACGGAGACCCCGACATTCACCCACAACCGGAAACCTACTGGGGGCACGTTAATCCGATAGGTCCCAGATCCTGCTATGATGAAGGCAAAAGGATCGCAGAGTCCCTGACATATGCCTACGCCAAGAAAGAAAACTTGCAAGTCCGAGTGGCAAGGATCTTCAACACATATGGTCCTAGAATGCACATGAATGACGGAAGGGTGGTTTCAAACTTCATCCTCCAGGCCCTTCAGGACGATCATATCACGATTTATGGTTCCGGGGAGCAAACCAGATCCTTCCAGTACATCTCCGATTTGGTAGATGGCCTAGTGGCCCTCATGAACTCCAACTTCACTGAACCCGTTAACCTGGGGAACCCAGTAGAGCACACCATCAACGAGTTCGCAACCATCATAAGGAACCTGGTGGGTGGGAACAGTAAGATAACGCATGTGAGGGAGGTGGAGGACGATCCTCAGAGGAGACGTCCGGATATATCCCGAGCGAAGAAAGTGTTGAGATGGGAACCAAAAGTTGGGCTCAACGAAGGACTTCAAAAGACTGTGGAATACTTCAGGCAAGAGTTGAAGAGGTTTAGGCATTCACCTAAGAATAAGTTTGTTATAGCCGAACATCTCTGAGAGTGTGTTTTTAATGTATGAATGATATTTTGATTAATGTTTGTACTCAGTTGTTGTTGTTATTGAATAAAATTGTTTATTTACTTAACTTTCAATTTTTCAATGAAAACAGTTGCATAGATGTGGATGATAAATGTTTTTTATTGAATGCTAGAGCTGGAGGGTTCTAGAGGTTGATTTAAAAAGATTTGAAGTCTGAAAATGTAAAGATCAGTAAAGCAGGTAATTTTTCTATAGAAATATCTTAATGATTTTCGAAAACTAGGCATATATGAGTATGATATTGGAGAATATTGTGGAAAGTCATAGGTGGATAATGAAAGATGAGAGTTGTGTAGCGAATATGAGTAAATGAAATCGAAAGTATGAAAGATGAGCTGTTGGTTAATATCAAGATAACAAGATTCAATTTTGTAGCTGTTCAAATGATTTTTGAACAGCTACAGAAAGTTCCCCTTTCTACTTGATAAGTAGAAAGGGGAACTTCTGGTGTGAAGTAAGTCTATTGAAAACACTTCTTCCTTGCCAGAACAAAAATACTCAATGATGCTAACTTAGTTTTCGAAACGCACGTCGAGAGACAGGTTTTTTCTGTTCTGGTGAGGAAGAAATGTTTTATTAGAGATTTCGTTTCAATATTTCGACATGATAGAATAACCTTTGATAGAAATAAGGATGGGACAGGAGCTGAAAACCAGAGTCCAATGCATTCATTATGCGGCACCCACTAGGTCTCATCAGGGGTGCTAGGCTGAACCACAAATATATTGCTAAACCTAACTGTCCTTATGTGTCGAGGCTTGGTTTTGCTATTGACCGCCTTGGGAAGCCTCGTTTATTTTTTATATATGGATTGAGTTCTTTGTCAATCCCATAGATAGCGTCTTTATAAGGGGAGATGTCATTGTCGTTACTTACTTGAAAACAGAGAATTATAAACAAATTATAAGAATGTGGGCTTTTGCGGCTGGCGTCGATGTTTTAGTTTGTTTTCGGGTTTTGCCGTGGCCTTCTTCGTTTATAATCTCCAAACGTTTCAACTGAATATTCAGTGGAATGGTCAAAGTACTCTTCTTGATATTTCAACTAAAACTGAAGCTCTCATTTCTGCCGTGTCATTTATAGTGCTGATTTTTCGCGAACTTACTCCGCAAGTCACCAAAATCGCGCGGAAAGTATGCGCGAACCCGCCTTTAACATTCGGTTTCACAAACAACATACTTAATTTCTTCCACTGCTATCTATCCAACAGAATACAGTTCATACAGTTCACCATTGTATCTTCCTTCAAATTCACCGCTATTTCGGGAGTTCCGCAGGGCTCGATTTTGAGACCTCTCCTTTCCGTATTATTTGTTAATGACGTTTCTCGGTATATCGGGCATTCTCAATTTCTCCTATATGCCGATAATCTCAAGCTGAGGAGAAGAATCAAAAGCGAAAAAGATTCTGATATGCTTCAAGATGATCTCGATAATCTATCTACTTACTTTTCAGTATCTGACCTATCTCTCAACGAAGCTAAATGCAAATAAATGAGTTTCACACGAAAGAAGTCACCCACTATCAAGGACTATTTCATTAATTACACCAATTTACAGAGAATTAATGAGATGAAAGATCTCGAGATCGTGTTTACTGGTGTGTTCAGTTTCTCTCGGCATATTGAATACTTAGTATCTGAATGTTATAGACAAATGAGCTTTGTCTTAAGATCTAGCCGTGAATTCAATCACGATACTTGTTTGTTACTCTTTAACTCCATTGTTCGCTCTAAGATGGAATAGGGTTGTGTCATTTGGAATCCAAATACCTTTTTATATTCTGAAACTATAGAAAAAGTTCAGAAACGATTTTTAAGAACACTCTTTTTCAGAAAACACAATGTTTGGCCTTTATCTATATCGTATTCTAGCCAATTACAAGAATTTAACATGCAACCATTGAAAGACCACCGTGAGTCCTCTGAAGTGATTATTGTTTTTAACATCCTCAGAAAACTGAAAGTACCTGAAATTCTCTATACTATTGATTTTATTGTGCCTGACGTAAGACTGAGAGGAAAAGACAATCTATTTCGTATCTCAAACAATTTGTCTCCTCTTCAGCAATGTCTCGAAACAGTTAACAAAATGGTGAGGAACTGTGAGCTAGATATATTCAGTATTACAGAGGGACAACTCCTTCGAATGCTCAAATGTGTCTTAATCTTTTTACGGTCATTTTATTATTTTATATTGTTATATTTTATATCGATTTTAACTGTATCAATGGTACTCAATGAATTCTATACGTAAGGAACTTTAAAAAAACTGTGCATCATGTAAGTTGAAACCATTCTGTTTGTTGTTCAGTATGAATAAATTTCTATTATATTCTATTTAGTGAAAGTAAGCAAAAAATCAGCATTTTAAATGAAGTTTGGAGATTATAACCAAAGAAGACCACGGCCAAACCCGGAAACCAACCAAAATATAACCAAGTTGATGAAGAAAGTTTGAAAATAATCTAAAAAACCAAAAATGAAGATAATTTATTTAGCTGAACTTAATGAATCCCTAAATGAAAGGATGAAAAGAGTAAATACTCAGTTATGAACTCGAACAATTTGATTCATCTCTATGTCAGTTTATTCACCTGTATTTGCTTTGTTAAATTGACTCCGTTAAATAGATAATTACATACTTATGATGCACTGTTTGGTACCTTTGGTGTAGTAATCAATATTACTGGAGTTTTTTCCCAACACCAAATCGTTATTTTTGAGACCTCGACACGTGTTTCGATCACCAAGTGATCATCTTCAAAGAGGAAGATTGAAACTACCAACCATACAGGTATACCAACCTAAATTAATTTTACAATTTTGCCCTATCTATTATTTTACAATATATGTTTATATGAAACAATTTTCAGCTATATAATAGATAATTTCACGATATTG